ACTATTTAAGTAATAGACCTTTTTCAAAAATTTTTTTTTTGTTATGTTGGTATACCCTTTCTTGACATATGTTACAAATTTCAGCGCCATCTGACAATTAGTTTGTTTACAGCAGCAGTTAATGTGAGACTACCTCAAGTGCATTTAGCGATTTTTACTATGGAAAATTCTTGTTGTACGCGATTTTTTGACCAAACACGGCACCACTGTCATCGCTCAGGCACCATATTCGCCAGATCTGGATCCGTGCGAGTTTTTTCTGTTCCCAAAACTCAAATTGCCCCTTCGTGGTAAGCGTTTTAAGTCGATTGAATCGGTAAAAGAAAATTCGCCGAAGGAACTAAAAGCCATACCTTCACGGGCCTTTGAAAAGTGTATGAAAGATTGGATTAAGCGTTGGGTATTTCATTTGTATATGATATATATAGTATACATTATTTTCGTGATGTAAATATATGTATATAAATAACATGATTAATAAATATGTATAAATAATAATATTACGAATTAATAAATCTGATGGACCTCATCTTATAACGCAAGACGATTTAAACGATCTAGTGCGCGATTTAAAGTTGTGCAAAAAGAAGAGTGAAATCTTAGGATCACGATTAAAGGGTTGAAAATTGTTGGATCCAAAAACTAAAATTTCTATGTATCGATCTCGCCATGACGAATTTAAATTATTCTTTTTTCAAGAAAACAACCTTATTTTTTGCAATGATGTTCTATCTGTTATGGATATTCTTAATTTTGAATACAACGATGATGATTGGCGTTTGTTCATTGATTCTTCTAAGGTCAGTTTAAAGGTTGTTCTCTTACATAATGGAAATGAAATTCCCTCAATACCGTTAGCCCATGGAACTGATATAAAAGAAACTTACGAGAATATGCAGTTTCTCTTAAAAAAAATTCACTACGAAAGATATAAGTGGAAAATTTGTGGTGACCTAAAAGTTATTGCAATTTTAGTAGGCTTACAACTTGGTTACACGAAATATTGTTGCTTCATCTGCGAGTTGGATAGCAGAGACAGAAAATTGCATTACTTGAAAAAAGATTGGCCACAACGTAAAGCACTCGTTCCTGGAATCAAAAATGTCCTCTTCCAGCCTTTGGTCGATCCTAAAAATATTCTTTTGCCACCTCTGCACATTAAATTAGGACTTTTTAAAAATTTTGTTAAAGCCATGGATATTTGAAGCAAAAATTTCCTAAAATAAGTGAGGCAAAGATTAAGGAAGGTATTTTTATTGGGCCACAGATTAGAGAACTGCTGAAGGACTCGGAATTTCAACAGCAATTGAGTTCAACAGAAATTAACGCGTGGAACTCATTCAAAAATGTAGTTGAGCATTTTTTAGGAAATATGTTGGCTGAAAATTATCGCGATCTGGTGGCTAATCTAATTGATACATACCAAAAAATGGGCTGCAATATGTCTCTAAAACTTCACTTCCTACACCCCTTGAATCACCCATTAATCTGGTTGTCTAAAGAAAACTAGACGTGATAGAAAAAATCTAAGTCCAGATTTGGAATCAGCACGCAAAATACCTCTAGGATCACTCAATAACATATCTAGGATAAAAAAAAAATTTTTTTTTGTTGACCTGTGTAATTAGTCATGAAATTGTTTTAATAAAGTTAAAAAAATTGTATCGTATTTATTAAAATAAAAGTTCTTTTAATCATGTTGCACATATACGTACTATATTTATATATATGCTGAGCATCTAATAGAAAAGTTAGTATGTGTTCATACATTTCGAGTATTAGGTTGCATTGTTTTAATAGTTTGTTTTAAAAAGATTAATATTAATATAATTTTTTAAAATTCAAAAAAAGTTTGGTATATTGTAATACAATTTTTGCTTGTGCATCAAATTTTTTCAATATAGAAAATCGTAAAAATGTATATACTGTTTACTACTACATATTTTTTGTAGTTTTAAGCAATCCTTTCAGTAAGGTGAAATTTTTTTTGTATATGAAATTCAAGAAATTGTTAACTAGTTAATAACAACATTGTAAACAATAAGGGTCAATTTCATCGCATAGTGTTAGAAGAAATATTAAATATATAAGTATTTTCCGCACCAACTAAGAGGTATGCTTGCTGGCGCGTTACCGAGTTTTAGGTGTTCGGTTCCCCAATAGGCCTATACACCAAAATGTTTTATTTAACAAATATACATTTTTATGTGAATACAATTTAGAATAACTTAATATATACAAAATAATATTACTATTTTAAAAATATTTAATATCAAACCAAAAATAATAAGGAACTATTAAATTAAAGATAAATTATAAATAAATTTAATAAATTATAAAATTAAAACTAAAATATTTTTTGTTTAAGCAAAAAATCACTTAAAGAGTATGAACACTTTTGTGCTGTTTATAAGTGTTGAAAGCATAATTGTTTATATTTAAAATTCGACACTTTATTATCTAGATTGAAATATTTTAAAATGAAGTAAATTCTTACTTTAATGAAAAAAGATAGAAGAGTTTCAATTTTGCAATTAGAGCAACATATATAGGGATGAACGTTTTCTAATTTATTAAATAAATGTTGCGCTAAACCTAATTTATAGCAATTGCTATCAAACTGATCCGAAAATTGTGATTCTAATTTTTCAATATATGTATATATAATAACAACACTCAATCAAAGTATAATTAATAATATTAATTTCTCTTCAGGATTTTTCCTTTTTTATAATTATTAGTATATCATGGAAAAAATAAAAAATAAAAGCACAACTTAATTCGTAGTTTATTATACACACTAATTAGGCACACATCTAAGTTTCTAATGTGTTAATACATTTATGTTTTTATTTTATTCTACAACAATAAATTACCGTTATTTTTAATTAATAATATACCTTCGATAATCCTTTGGAAAAATATAGAGATGTTTGAAATTTAAACATCCAAGTACGCACTTTATTTACGCACTTCCGTAAATAAATTTTTATTAACTAATAATTCATATATTTTTCTGGAATAATTACCTTTTTTAATGCTTTTATAATTGAAAACAAATTCCGCCTTATTTTTCTTTTAGTAATGTGGTATTTGTGCACTTAATTGCAACTTTGGCGCATTTTCTCGTAACGGATTTTTAATGTCAAAAAACCAAAACAAACAACGAAATTTCTCAGAAACCTCTCTTACTTTAGCAAATATCGTGGTGAGTAGGGACCGGGTGGGCAAAGTAGCAGGGTCCGGGTGGGGAAAATATTCACGCGCCATTATGTAGCATTAGGCTTTTTGTTATTGTACTGCGTAATATTTTCACCTCATTACACAAAATTTTTGAATATTTTTTGAATAATCCAGAAAAATTTATACACAATTTTTCGAGTAACTCTCAGTTTCTTTTCTTTATCTTCTTTGGTTACAATAGTGCTTCCGGTAAAAAGTAAAAGTAGAAATTTAGACAGAAAATATTTATTATGAATACAGATTCATTCCAACAATTTTGTTTCAAGTTTGATGTTCACAAGTCTGAAAAGAACAACATAGCGGTCTGAAAAATAGTAGTTCACCCGATGAAATGTAACCAATTTATTTGTAAATTATCCTGACAAACATTTTTAGAAAAATTGTAAAATGAAAAATAGAAATAAAATGTCCATTCTTCACTTTTAAAGTCACTGAAGTCTTTTACTCAGGACTAGATTGATAATTGTCGACATTGATGTTAAGTGTTTAAAGGATGCCGATAAAAATTTACAGTTACCCCTCATGAAGGTAACTTAAAATATCACTTGAAATTAAGAAATATTGGAGCACCTTTGTTATCATTCTCCATCGTTAATATATATTTGACATCTTACAAAATATTTCACAGAATACTGATTATAAAATGATTAGGTTCGCTAAACACAGCACATGTACCATAATTAATAATATACAAACGGTGAAAATCTGTAACCGAACAGTTTTCGATATTATCAAAAAATATTTTACAAAATATCGTTTATTAAAAGTTATTTATAGAGGCGCTCCCAAACACAGCGGATGTAACGCAATCAGAATAAACAAAGGTGAAAATCCAGAACACAACCGTTTTTTCATGTTCCACAATCAACTTTTCTTAAATAAATAGTTAAGTGATGCTGTCGATCCAGCAATATTTCTCATATGAAATGTTAAAATAAATTTTACAAATATAAAAATCCGATCTATCACAAACTAAAAATTTTTCACAAAATATTGTTAATAAGCTTTAATGAATTCTAGGTTTTTGAATTATTATTATTAACTCTATTTTAAATTAATTAGTTTTTCTCTATATATAAATTTAAAAAATTGCACTACTTTCAAAAACTTTCCCGGTTTTATTAAAGTCAGCAATTTTAAAAAATAAATGTCCATTTTTCGTTAGCTCAACTTATCTCTTGTTTCAAATTCATCTTTCGCATAGTTGCATTTGATATTTCTTTTAATTTGAGGCTTCGTTTCAACGATTTTTGCGAAATTAAGGTGTGTTTGAATATAGTATTGGATTCAATTAGTAAATGTTTTAAAAAAAATAGTTTGTTCTTATTTATAATTGGTATTTCCAATTATTTAAACAACTTTTAAATTTATTTCAATTTCAAACAAAACAAATGTTAGTATCGAAAACAGCTTTTAATATTATAAATTTATATGTAGATGTGTAATATAAAGTGCAAAAAAGTAATATTGAATTTAATATCCGAAAACAATTGCATGGGTACTTCAATTAAAGCCATTCATTTCAAATAATGATGAAGCCCAAACAGGCTACTATATATGAATGCCGTGTATTCAACAGTAAGTGCCGTCATTCTGAATCAAAAGTCATAATTGTAGTGTAACACCCGCTTAATTGTTAAATGGTGTAATCTAGAACTTAAATCTTTTAGAATAATTTGCACTGGTAACACTTTGACTCCGCCATGTTTAACTATTATGTTTTGTTTTTGGTTTGTAACTCATATTTTATTATAAAATAATATTTAATAATTAGTCAAAGTAATATTTGTTATAATTTGACTTATGTGTGTCTTGTAAATTGAACAATATTTTGTGTTTCAAAATGTGTAACCGTATGTTCGGTATTTCAGTAAAGGTATCTTCCAAATCGCAAAAAATGTTTCGTTCTGAATACTTTGCCGAACTAAGCTGAGTCTACCAGAAAATATTGTTTAAAATGTGAATTCGGATTTACTAAGTTAATAATTGTTTTCGCCTATTTAAAAACATTTTTATTTATATTTTGAAGTGTGATTTCCACGTACCTTGAGGTGGGTTATATTGTTACCAACAAAATGTCTTAAATAACAAAAAGCATTACATTATTAATTTAAAAATAAAACTTAAAATCGCAGTTACTTTATTCAACGCTGTAAATTTTGATATATGCGAACAATACAAGAGGGAAACTGAAAACGCGTCTTTTTTAGAGAAAAATGTCTCAGTCTGTTTTAATGTGCGGTGATCCCAATGCTATAACAATAGAAGAGGACAATATTGTGTCCAATTTCTCAAATATTGTTGGTATACCTGTCCCGTATTCCTCGGAATATGGAATTTTACTAAGCAATGATGAATACGGAGTCGTTACAACTAAGAATTGTCAAGTTCAAGGATTGCTGGCACACAATATTAATGATGGTAAAAAGTCTATATTATGTGTTCTTTGATTAATAATTTTTATATGTATGTTTAGATCTAATTTCTGAGGAAGTAATGAATTCTGGACAAATTAAAGATTTAAATCAAAGTGAACATACCACATATGCAAATACAACTTTCGTAAGCAACATAAATAGTAAGGAGGTTAAATCGCAGGCAACAACAAGAACAACGCCATCACCAATTCTCACTTCTAAGTAAGTAAAATAAATTTAAAACTTGTGTTAACCAGAAGTACATGTGGTATAGGATTTTACTAAAAGAGAAATAAAACTATTTAATTTTATCGATAGAAAGTTTTGACATAAAAAATCAACAGGTTGCTCCTTCATAATGTTCATGTTCTTCATAATAACACTTCTCTCTTGATAAGCTATATATTTCATCATAACCAGAATTTAAATTTCTTTTTATTTTGAACTACAAAACAGAAATTAGAACCACCTTTTCGTAAATTGACACATATATACATATATGTGTTATGTAACGTATTTAATATTAATATTTGTATTTCTTATTTATACTAATATCGCTCTGTTTGCTTCGGTATTCATAAAATAAAAAATTACTTTCTGCTTTTAAAAAATTTTTTTTTAATGGAACTAACTCTCATATATATGTATATCTTTCAATGTGCAACCATTAAGCTACCCGCTTAAGTTTTAAATAATCTATATAGATTAAATTTTATATTTGATATGATTATTTAACTTTATCTTAACTACTTCGTTGAGTTTTCTCGAAAAATAATTGCAAAATATAATATTCTTTTTAAATTCCGGATATTTTTACATACAATGTTAATACATAAATGTTCCACTTTCACATATCTTTAATATTTTCAGGAAAATCATATTATTCTACATCCGATTATTTTGTACACTCAATGCAAGTTGCCAGTGTATAGATAGATTTTTTTCAATTTTTGATATAGGAATTGAACTATTTCTAGTGATTTCTGGTAATGTGTATATACACTTGATTCCTTTTGACAATTATCTGCCACAATTTGTCTCTTTCGTGTGTTGCGTGGATGCAGTGGCATTTTGCTAACTTTATGAATACAATCTAGAAATTTTTATATTGATATTTTTCGCAAATCGGTTTAGAATGTAATTAAGTCACATATTTTCCTACTCACTTCGCAACCACAACTTTTTGTTTTTGTATTTGTTATAATATTGCTGTTGAAGCAGACTTTCAAGTTTGAGCAAGGCTGACGCTTCTATTTCAGCTATTACTGCAACTTGAAAGTGGGACTATGATGCTTTAAATACATTTTCGTACAATGAAAGATATTCTTTTCTATAAGTCCGTTTTGTATATTTGTTGATTGCCGACATTATTGAAGCTGTAGATACCTACGTAACTACGGAGATGTATTAACTATGGTGTATTTGCTGTGTTGATTGCCAATCTGATGTCTGTGTCTCAATTTTTCAGAATTTCTTAGTATCTCTTTTATTTACCTCTGAAGTCGCTTAGAATGAGCTTCCGCTTGTTCTTTAATTTCTTCAGCTTTGGTTGAGATGTTAAGGTCTTGGTAAATATCGACATTACGAACGCACTTTCGGACGTTAAAAATATTTCTGAGGACTTTATTTTAAAGCCTTTAAATTATGTTGATCCTGCATTGGGTGGCAAAGTTTCAAATTTGTGCACCATAAAACAATATGGGTTTTAGGATTTGACTACAAATTATTTTTTATTACATACGGAGAGTTTTAATATGCATCATATAAACCAGTCTATTTATTAACCTAGCTCAAAAGCTATGCCATATTTTCCAGTATTTGCGTATAGGGTTGAGATTTTTAGTGTATTATTAAGAGATAATTTGCTTTTTCGTTAGTGAAGTCCAACTTTATTGATTGATAGATTTATTATATTTTAGTTTAATTCTCTAAGTTTTCATTCCTCTTTCCATTTTGTCTACTGCGATTTGTAGTTTCGCTGGACCTGCTTCTATGGTTTTTTCTGTTGCACATTCGGCTGTGTAATCGGCAAATGTGGTAACCATGCTGCTCGGTAACAGTATTCTCTTTTTGTGTGTAGGAAATATAGATCATTGCTTCATTTCAGATCAGATATATCGAACAATGTTCTGAGTTGAGATTAAAAGCAAAATTTATTTAACCATAGCTCATTGAAAGTTTTTTATGATATAAAAAGCAATCAGGTCTGGAATTTTGTTGATATTCATTGACCAAAAAGTTGGATTGGGTGTCAAAATGAACACTATCTGTTTCACGTGCTGCTTTATATAGTTATGTGCTTATGTTGTTAACCGACAGCATCAGTTAATGTTTTTGGCATTGAAGTCTCCGCCTATTATTGGCTTGAATGTATACATATTAGTTGAATCTTTTTACTTGTTTCAATAAATTAAATGTTTCTACAGCAAAGCAAATGCACACACGCATAAATTTTTAAGGAATTTATTGGTTTTTTTGTTGCGTTTTGATTTTAGTTGTGTGGATCAATAGATCACATGACAACTATAAAACGCGCAATAAAATACAAGGTCGACGTTACTAATATATATAATGCCGAATTATGCAATCTTCTCTACTATCATTCTTATTTACCATCGTTCGGTTTAGTAGTTTAAATATAAATTGCAATCTGAAATTAAACTTTTCATGGTTAAATAGTAGTCCCTCGTGCTCCACAAATTAATAACGCTTGGAGTTGCGGTTAATCTATTGTGTTTTGGGTCATTATATATTTTTGGATTTAAATTTCACTCTTAACATTCTGCACAAAACTAATATAAAAAATCAATTAATTTAAACTAAAAATTTAAATGTCTCTATATGCTTTGTTCTTTATTTTGAATTTAAATTTTAGAAAAATTAAAATAGTGTCAAAAGGCAGTACATCAGCTTTAACTATACCTTCAAATCTAACCGATTCAAATATGTCAAATATGATCAATTCTATACCTTCAAACTCCCACATTACTAATAATTATAAACAACATAACTCACGTTTGCATCGACAACGCCAACACAAAAGTTGTCAACTTTATGTACAAGATGATTTAAACACTGTTAAGCCACGCCGATGGGAACAAAAACTTGTACAAATAAAAACAATGGAAGGCGAATTTAGTGTTACTATGTGGACATCAGGTACATCTGATGACGAAGATGAACCAAATATAGAAATAAATAATGAATATGAAAAAATGTTAACAAACACAAGTAATCTGGACCAAAGAGTTAATGGAATTATATCGATTAAAAACAATTGTGCGGAAAATGAAATTTTTCAAAAACAACAATCTTTACAACAACAGTTAATATTACAACAACAAAAACAGCAACAAATGCTAGCTCAAGAAAATATAAATAAATGTACAAATTTATCTTCCATATCTAATACTACTTTACCAGATTTAGATTTGTCAGATCCAAAACAGCTTTCTGAATTCGCCCGAAATTCGAACAGTGATAAACTAAAAATGAGAAAAAATGATAGTGACAATAGAGAAAAATGTTTTCCTATTTCACAACCAATGATAACACCTTCTACCTCTGCAAATACCGTATTTTCGGTACAAGAAGGAGTATCTGTTCGAACTGTCAGTGTACAACCTGGTAATAACTTTAATTCGTCTTTATCATCTTCACCTCCACCTTTGACATACAGTAGCAATCATATCAATACTGAAAATTCGCTAGTAACTGACAAAAAAATTGCATGTCCGCATAAAGATTGTAATAAATATTTTCGTGATAACTCGGCTATGCGAAAACATCTGCATACTCATGGTCCTCGTGTACACGTTTGTGCTGAATGCGGTAAAGCTTTTGTAGAGAGTTCAAAGCTTAAAAGACATCAACTTGTGCACACTGGGGAGAAACCTTTTCAGTGTACATTCGAAGGTTGTGGCAAAAGATTTTCTCTGGACTTTAATTTAAGGTAATGTTTTATACAGTCATATATACAAAAATAATAATTTTAAATATTTTTAACCAAAAGAACACATGTGCGAATTCACACAGGAGATAGACCATATGTATGTCCGTTTGATGGCTGCAACAAAAAATTTGCTCAATCAACGAATTTAAAGTCCCATATTTTGACTCACGCAAAAGCCAAGTAAGTTTTTATCTATACATTTTTCATTTGTTTAAATTCGTTTCTAATAAGATTAAAAATCTCATTAAAAAAATGAGATTGAAAACATTTATTTTAATTTCATTTCTTGTACGGTTTTTTTTTTAATTATTTCATGTTCACACCGGTTAGTTTGATTACAACGTCAGACGTTGATTACTATTAAATATTTCTAATATATTTAATTTTTCAAAAATTTTAAAAGACAAGCCCAAGTAGACAGCTTGTATTTTTTATTCAACATTTTTATTTTTAAAATATAACTTTGAAATTTTGACATAAATTCCTGGCTTTTATATACCTATATTTTATAGATGTGACAGCGGAGAAAGACTTTAATAAAATAATGCAGTATTTCACTTGAAAATTTCATGGAATTTCATTTATTTTTCTTTTTTAACTTATTATATTTTTTAGAGTAATTTTAGAGTAATCAAAAAAATTTTTTTTTTTGTGATTATTTCATTTTCAATTGCTAGTCTTTGTCGATTATATAATCAATTTATAAGCCGAATGCATTTAAGACCAAATCCCAACACTCACTCCCACCTTTTCCATTCCTTATCCCATGTATTCGTCTTGTAATCCTTTTAGTTACAACAACAACAAGACCAAATAATGTAAATTAGACATAACTGAGTAATATTAATTATTTTAAAAATTTAAACATTATTTTTTTATGTTAAAACAACCGCTAAAACGGAGTAATGTCACAATAATCTATTGTAACCTATCTATAATATATACTAACCTATTATTGTGACAATACTCCGTCTAAGCGGTTGTTTTAAAATAAAAAAATAATGTTTTTAAAATTTTTAAAATAATTAATATTATATTTAATGTTTACTGTGATAAATTGGCCTATTTTTATACATATGTTGATTTTTGTGAACATTTGTAAATGTTTTGTTTTAAAAAATTGTAATAAGTTAATTATAAACCAAAATTTTTTGCTTTTTTACAAAAATTAAGCACTGATAAAGTTTTAAAAAATAGAAAGAAATATATGCTGGAAGTTTTTAACTAAAAGCTTTTTCATATGGTTTGTCTGCTAGCCAATAAACAATTTTATATCTAAATAAAATGATATCAGATGATAAATACACAAACACAATAGTTTAATAATAGGCGTTTTCGGTGGCTCGCAAGTGCGGCAAAACAGCAAGTTGCTGGCCTATACTGGCTGACATGTACGCAATACAACAACATTATTTTCCCTATCTAAGCCAATAGTTGTTTACTGGCCAAATACTTTGGCCAGCAAAGAACAGTGTTATCAACGTAATAAGCGAACTATTGTGAACCTTCATTGGAAATTCTAACGAATACTGCAATCATATGTCAAAAGTCATATGTAAACAAAAATTTAAACAAAATTTAAAAATTTCATAAATTGAAAATTGGGAAAAAAAGAAGAAATTTCAATATTCTTATGATTTCTTTTAATTCTGTATTCATTTTAATTTTCAATTTATATTAATTATTTATTTCTATACAAAATGTGATTTGCTTGCATTATGCGCAGATATGCAAGATTTGCTGTTTGCCAAAATAGACTAGAAGAAATGAAGTTGCACGTTAAACTTCATTTTTTCTAGTCTACTCTTTCAATATACTGTCACCTGCATATAGAATACATATACATATAACTAAATTTGCAGATGACGCAATTTTTGTGGTAGAAAATACATAATGAGAGTTAACTCTATATCTCCGAAGTGCTTTAACGAAATAGTAAATTGGAGAGCGA